ATGTGGCGCGTTGCATTTACTGGTCGTCACCCATCGAATGATCCCAACACGACTCCCCAAGGCGGCGACCATTTGTTTGAGTTAGCTCCCAAGGCGTAGATGATGCTCAGTCCGATGAAAACGGTGACCCGAACTGTCCTGTTGCTGGGGCGATGGGAGGAAAAGGATGATCCTTGCAACCAAACCTTGCGTGCAGAGATCTACCGCTGTCAAGGTTGACACCTTTCACCTCTAGGCTCCTCACCCATGTCACCGGTTACAGGCAGCGCTGCAGATAGCGTGTCGGTAGACTTCAATGATATCGCCAACTTTGAAGAAGCAGCTCGACATGCGAATCGTGTCCGGCAGCTATTCGAGAGACGTAGACAGCTGCAGGTGCATCCAGCAGCTCTCCGTAATGCAAAACGGGGCTGTCTCTGCATCACCCGCGTCACCCGCATCGCACCTTGAGGTCAGCTTCGTCGTACGCGATATCAGCCCAAGCAGACACTGACCCGACGAGTCCACCGAGCAATCAAACTTCGTCTCGTGCATGAGCGGGCAGGCGGGCAGGCAGGCAGGGTCTGAGGAGACCAAGTCAAGGTCAGCCAGAATTCTGGGTGACTTGCGCTCTTTCAGCTCCCTGCCTTCCGCTTTGCACCACAGTGGACAGTAATTCTGCTGGACAGTATCCATAAGACGCTGCCATGACTTTTGCTGGACTTTTGCCAGAGTGCTGTTCCAATCAGCAAGGCATGTATATTTTGAGACCATGCGTGTCTACTTTTCCCAGTTTGGTGCGTTGACTTGGTGGAAAGATTGAATTCCTTACCCATGCACTTGCGAGAAAGGCGGCCTCACGAGGCTACCACTCAGGACACTGTATGTATGGTTCCGGTGACAGGTACTGGCTGAAGTGGTCGTGAGGCCCTTTAGAAGCGACTGTTACATTTGCTTCAATTCCGGATGATGTCCGTAAATCCTGTAGCTCGGTTCTAATTCTCCTGGACGACTTGTGTCCTGTGGGCTTCATCCGCCCGTGCCAAAGTCTCCACTGGACAGAGAACTCGCCGAACCAGTAGACCTGGACACTTCACATTTAGAGTGTATCTCCAGAAAGTCTGGCATTGGGCGGGCTGGACCCGAAGCCTGGTGCAGACCAGCTGGCGTCACGAGCTGGAAAGAAGGAAGAAGCAGGAGCTTCACCACAAGATGGGCGGTTCGAAGTCGCTGTCGACAGTCGTTCCAAAGGCGCTGGGTCTGGCTGAACAGTGCCGTTTATGCCATAGCCGCTCCTTCGTCGATGGGCCCACAGACATAGAGAGACCACTTTCACAATAGCCATCGTTACGCTCCGTGACCACTGTATGATAGACGGGAAAACTGGAAGAGCTCGAGTTCACTTCAGCCGGCGACCAAGCGAGACAGTAGTGTAGTGACTCGGCCCGAAGAGGTTGAAGCGGTCAGCGACCCCGGCGACGGGTGTTAATATGTCGGATAAGCCCGCTGGCGAGGAGCAGACGAATCGAGGGTGTTCGCGACCATCAACATCGTGAGGCTGACGCTACCCTCACGACCTGGACTTCCTTGAGCACCGCGTCCCAAGCTGAACACGATCGTACAGGGAGAGCGAGGAAAATGTCGATGCTCTGGAGTCAAGACTGCTTGCCTCGATAACGCAGAGATGTGGAGCAAACCAGGAGCGACATTGTGGAGACTGCTCGAACAGCCTCGCGTCACCATGTTACACGGCCTCTGTTGACGCACTGTCTAGCATGCATCAGGTTCAATGCCACCTGGGAACTTGACTTTATTGCTAATGATTACATGGCACAGCATCCTTGCTATGTCTAATGCCTTCGACCCGCATGATAAAATCCTACACCTTCTTCTTCAGATCGTAACCCACGAGGTATACTCGAGCAATGGCGAAGAAGGCACATCCGACAAGACAGACTATGCCGCCGAACAGTTGCAGGTACAAGAATCCGCCGTGATCGCGGGTGATCAACGCGCCACCAATGGGCGAGCCTGTCAGTGCTCCAAGTGAACCCGCGGCAAACACTGTGCCAGTCCGCACACCAATCTCCTGGATCGGCGAAATTTGTGCAATCAAGGCCGGTGTCAATCCAATGGCAGCACCGGAAGCGAAGCCGAAGACTGGCGCAAAGACAAGTTGGCCCACGTTGGTGTCGGCCGGGATCCAGACTGCCAGAATCAATATTGCCGTTAAGGTGCAAAACACTGTCATGACGTTGAACCGCCCAAATTTGTCACCCAGGATCCCAGGTAGTGTTCGACCGAAGATTGAGCCCGCGTTGAGAATGGAGACCAGGTACTGCGCCAAGTCAAGAGACATGCCGCGACCATGCGCGACAGTCGTGACGAAGGAGAAGACGGGAAACATGCCCCAGTAAAAGAAGAATATTGCGAGAGTGAGCAACAGCATCGGAACCTCTTTGAGCGGTCGACCAAACGCCACGAGACTCCAAGGGCGGGGTCGTGGCGGAAAGCGTGCGCGGAGGGTGAGGATGGCGAAGGTGCAAAGTCCGAGGATGAGAAAGGCACAGGTTCGCATAGCCCATGGGAACCCATTCCTCTCGATCATCCGGCTGACGATGATAGGGAATAGCACACCACCGAGAGAACTGCCCGAGGCCGTGATGCCGATAGCCATCCCCCGCTTCTTGAAGAACCACGTCGAGACACAAGCGACGGCCGGTGTGAAGATGCAGCATGCTCCGATCGCCGAGCAAACGCCCTGGCTGAGCATGAACTGGTAGTATTCCGTGGAGATGGATGCCATCATCAACCCGAAGACGTGCATGAAGCTGCCCACGATCAAGAGTTTCGTGGGTCCGTAATTGTCGAAGATGAATCCCGCCACGGGTCCCGTGGCAAGCATGAAGAAGGTCTCCACTGAAGGAATCCAGGCGACCGTACTCGGTGAGTACTGCTTCAGCTCGACGCTCATATACCTCTCCTGGAACAGTCCCACGCAATTAATCCACCTGGGCCAAGATTAGCATCCGGCAGATGAGCAAGATTAGAGCGCAAGACCACGTACCCCCATGAAACGAAGAAGCAGGCACTCGCAGCGGCTACGGTAAGCCACGCTTGGCGACCGCCATCTGGAAACGAGGAAGGGTCTGCCCACGGCGTCGCTGCTTTGGGAGCCTCAACCTCGACATTTTGTTCTAGAGAGGACCGTCCCGTAGACGCGGCGGGTGGTTCTTTGTTGTCTGTATTGAGCTCGTTGCCCTTTGCGTCCGTTGGTGGTGCATTCTCCAGGGGCAGTTGCTTCTCGACATCTGCCGACATGGTGCCGGTATGTGGACGGTCGAGCCGAGGGCGTCAGGCGAGTTGTTCGATGAGTATCCGCCGGTATCGTACAAACAACCGGAGCTTCAAGCCGCTGGACTGCACCTGAGAATTCTCCTCTCGACACGCGACGGAATTCTAGAAAATGGCAGCGAAAGAAAGAACCGGGCAAATAAAGGAAGATCTCCTTTATTGATATATCAATCGATCGGAATAGAGGTCAAAATGCACCCGGTCAGGCCCACCGTGGATGTACGTAGGAGCTTCGGCCTTATGAAAGCGCGAAGTCCACTGAACCGCTGGGCTGATCGATATCCACCGTGGCAGCTTCGCCGTCGACTAGACCAGCATGGTTTGGACTCTCATTGGATGGAAGGGACTTAAAGCTTGCCGACACCAGCTGTTTCATCGGGGCTAGAGGCATGCCCGTGGTTGATCCGTGTCGTTGTTGTTGTTGCTGTTGTACGAAGGCGTACACAATCGTGCTCGGCTCGCTCGAAAAGCCTGCTCCGCTCGGTCGGTATCAACCTCTCGGCCTCTGGGTAAATAGAAATAATGAAGACTGACGTGACCGATGTGAAGGTGTGTTGCCTGTAGGGACGAGCTTCTTGCCCTTGTCAGCAAACAGCTCTGTGCACACAGGTATCTTCCAACAACTGTCTCGACCGACATGGCGAGCCCGATCGTACCGGTGACGGAGTTAATAGGTTGTCCGCCTCGTACCGGGCGGACGGCCTTTCTGATCTTTCTCTGGCCTGTTTTGTTGCGTTGACCGAGTTCTCACGCTTTATTCCTTGTGAACGACCCCCGACTGTGAACCGCCTAGCAATAAGGGACACTCTGATTCGGAGTCGTGAAAGCGCTTGATTAAGCCGTTGACATGCGACTTTGAGCCTCACAGGTCTCTGCCGTCAAGGAGGACAAACCTGCAAGTGAAACCACAAGGGATTCATGGCGTCTCTTGTACTGATTGCGAGGATCGAAGTAGCTGGACGAGGATGATTAGAACCATAACCTGCGCTTACTTAGGCGCCTTGCGCGTCTGTTCCTTCGATATTACTGTACTCCATACTCCGTACTGTGTTTTTCGTTCTCCGGTCACTCTTCGTCATCCTCCACCGCACCGCACCGCCAATAAATACCGCCTACTGCATACCAAAATCCGTCTCCATCCCGCGATACACACTGCAGCTAATTATGAAGACCCGTATTCTTGGTACCACCGACTCAGCAAACGTACCAGCGTCATAAACACGAAAAGGCATCATTCTTCGCTAGACAATGCAGCGACGTCCCCTTGTCATAATCCCGTTACATGACCTATTAAAATCTATACATTACGTTCACCCTCCATGATCATGATCATGCCCCCGGCCCTCCTTCGCAGGCAGCACGACAAACCGAAAAAGCACTCTCGCCCTGGTATGAATACTGCCACGGGCGCCTTGACAACGAGAAGACAACCTGTGCATATTCATCCCGCAGCATATGCATGGCAGACCGCTCAGCCTTCCGCCGCCGCCTCCAGCCAGCCAGCCAGCCAGCCATGCTCGACGATCATCCCTCAGGTCTGTGAATATCTCCCGTCATGTCTTGTCGAGTCTAGTCATTCCCCCAATGCCGCACTCGTCTTCTTTACCCCGATCCGACGTTTTGTGCTTTGTATCGCTGTTGATCCGCTTCCCTCGGTTCCACCGATATTAATACCTCATCATACTCATATACCCGGCGACAGCCTCCCTTCGGATTGCCTTCTCCTCGGGCGTCTCTCGAACAGACACCGCCAGGGGCTTGCCCTTGCTGACGTCCTTGGTGTCCTTGGCGTCCTTTCTGGCCTTGCTATCCTTGCTGCCCTTGCGCGGCAAAAGGGCCTTCAGGCTTGAGGTGGTCGAGGTGCTGCGAACAGAGGCCGTCTCGTCGGTGGTGGTTGACTTCTCGTTTGTCGAAGGCATGGTGTGAAGTTGAAAGGTCAAATCGGAGGGGATAAGGTAGGGTGTATTAGTGTTAGTGTTGGGTTGATCTGAGAGGTCGACTGATATAGATCGAACAGTGTCCGGAATCCCCCCGTTCACAGTCTGTGTCCAGGTATGTTGACAGTCTTCCCTTCTCCAAGGCCTGAAAGTGCTGAAAGTCGGGAGCACGTAGGCGGCAACAGAAGGGGTAAGTCAGTGGTGTTCCGGCTGCCTGACGGGGTGGATGTAGTGTTCTGTCGTCAGCGCAACATCCGACTCTGGGTTTGATGCTTGTATCCGTTCTCAACGAAAGAAAAACGAGCCTGATGCTGAATCTGAGCCTCCAAATCCAGGCTCCCACGCCTCTTATATACCTCAGTTCAACTACCTTAGCTGGGTACGTACCCTACTTTACCGTTCCCGGGCTCTGAGTCCTCGATCCAGCTCCAACAGCCACTAGTTACCGTCCATAGTACCTGGCAAGTGATAGGATAGTGACTAGATGGCGGCCTTGGCCTCGGGGTCTCGATCCCCACATCAACTCAAGCATGCGAGCTTGCTTATACAAGCAGTGCCTAGGTCCTGTTATTCGTCTGCCTTGTTGCTTGCCTAATCTTTGGCCTTGGACAAGCCTGGCCCTTCTTGGCTTGCGTGGTTCGGACTCACACACTTGTGGGGAAAATGAACACCGATCCTGAACGCGGACTTTGCGAGCGATTGCCAGGTTCCCAGGGACCGTACGCGGCACACCTCGTCTTCATAGTCGCGCATATCCGCGACCAATGGGAAGGCAATGCGCGTACAATGTATGCAAATGAGAGTTTTGCAGGGGGCCGGTTCTGCTCTGCGTGTGTGCATGCGTGGCGCTCGCGCGGTCCTTCCCTCTACGGGATACACAAATAGCAGCTCACTGCCTACAGTACTCCGTAACTTGTGACTCATTCACGCGCCATGGGTCCGAGTACGAGGACAGACGGAAACTCCCCCCTGCAACTGGGACTCGAGCGCATAGGAACCCTTCCAAACCGACGTTCCAATGCAGGGCAGCGCGACGCAATGCAATTTTGTGCACCGGTCTAACAAACGCAAGAGAGGTCCCTACTCGACGTCGCAGCGCGGAAGGGATCAGCAGGATAGGATAGGTACGTAGTGGAATGCAAGTCGGTCGAAGGGTGTCCCGTTGATTCGTTCCAGCGTAGGGTAGGTTACCGAGGCCGTCAGGATCGGATGCTGGGTCAAGCTTCAAAAGCCACGAGGGCACCAAGGGCGTGCTGAGCGTGACAGGATATGATACCGACTACGGAGTCATAGTCAAGCTTCTGTTCGGGAGGTGGAGAAGTGACAAGGGTTGCTCCATGCTGTACCCAGCACAAGTACGTAGTACAGGCGATGGTGCTCAGATGCTAGGGGAATAGTCTGACTCATTTACTGTCCAGAGTAGCCTGCGTGATAAACTAATTAAGTGACTTGGCCTCGTGGCTGGCTCGCTTGCTGATGGTCAAGATGACGTTCGTATTCGTGTTTGCGACCTCGACACAGTTTCAGGATCCGACTGAGATGCCGATGAGCATTTACTGTACTTGCGCAACATGAGTCGAGAGAATGAACCAACTGACGAATATCACATGCCCAAGTGTCTTACTTTCTGCCCTTTTTGCGTATCGCTTTCTCACCTGGATACCCTCTTTCGGAGGTCACAAGCCATTTTGGTTTGCGACGAGGTATATGTAGTACACAGCATACGTAGCCGGACCACAACCGGGAGATGATCCTGTCCTCAGTCTTCTGATCAGACACGATACAGTAAGACTCCTTCGACGATCCATAATCCAGAAACGACTCGATTCCCAGACTACCAGTTTGGGTTCTGATCCTGATACTGATCCTCGTGATGAGACGGCTGTGGACTTGTTTGACTGAAGGCACAGATTCATATAATGTTACCAATTCTCCTTTTACTGTGCACATCAAGGGATTGACGATTTGTACTCGTAACACCTTGATCAACCTCCTCTGTTTGCATCGATTCCCCCATGCCATTGAGACATTTTTATCCGCAGAAGAGGATGGTTGTATCCCTAAATCCATACGCAACGACCTAGATTTTACATGAGCATGTGATCCATAATATCACACCGCAGGCCCATGTAATGCCCACGCCCGTTATATCTATGATTGTGACTTCAACTTCTCCGTCAACTCAGGGACCTTCTCGAATAAATCACCCACAAGTCCCACATCTGCGACCTGGAAAATCGGCGCATCAGGATCCTTGTTAATGCACGCTATGACCTTGCTATCCTTCATGCCCGCCAGGTGCTGGATCGCACCAGAAATGCCGGCCGCGAGGTATAACTGAGGCGCCACGTTCTTGCCCGTCTGCCCAACTTGCAGACTGTTGTCTGCGAAACCGCTGTCCACCGCTGCGCGGGAGGCACCGATTGCCGCGCCCAGCGCATCCGCCAAGGGAGGAATCAGCCGGTCGAACTCCTCTTTTGATTTCAAGCCTCGTCCGCCCGAGACGACCTTTTCCGCCGACGCGAGTTCGGGTCTGTCAGACTTGGCGAGGCTCTCGGACACCCATTCCGTGGGTGACTCGACTTTGGGGTCGACGCCGTCTTCGACTGCCGCGGACCCACCATCTGTCTCTGCGGGGGCGAAGGATGTCTGGCGCACGGTGAGGAGTTTCGTCGAGTCGGTGGATTGGACTGTGAGGATGGCGTTACCGGCGTAGATGGGGCGGACAAATGCTGGCCAAGTTAGCGTGGTTGTGAGCTGGACAAGCAACGGTGGTACCTACTGTCCTCGCTCTCGATACTCATCACATCCGAGATCTGTTGGACGTCCAACAGGGCCGCAACTCGGGGTAATAAACTCTTGCCAAAGGCTGAATGTGAAGCAATGACGTGTGTATATCCGCCTTTCTTGATATTTTCCACCAGCAGCGGTGCCCAGTTTTCCGGTAAACCCCTCTCGTATGCTTCATTTTCCACGGCGATCACCTTCTCGAGTCCTTTGATTTTAGCTGCTTCTTGGGCAATGGTCTTTGCAGCTTTGCCGGCCACGAAGCCGTGCACGGCACCTCCGAGCTTACCGCCCGCGGTCACTGCACCTAAGGAGCCGGTGTTGAGTTTTCCGTCTTTTTGTTCAAGGATTGCGAGCGTGGAGAGCAGCCGTGCGAGAAATGACGATTGCGCAGGTGACAGGAGGGGTCTGGGAGCTGTCTGCGCACGTACTGCCCGCAGGGCTGATTGTCGAGCTACTGGAAGCATCGTGTCTGCTGGAAGCTCTCCACAGGAGACGGAGGAAAGGAGAGGAGCAAAACAGTGCACCTCAGAGTTCAAATGGAAGCATCGAGCCCCCAGATCATGAATTCGGTATTGACGTCTTCAGTTGGTGGAATTCGCCGTTGCTTGAGCCTCGGGTTTTCCAGTTTATGCGAGTTTCTGCCGGCTCCGATCCCGACCATGGTTTCGAATCGGGAAAGCACGTGACTTTAGCACAGGCTTTCACGTGACTGGAAGTAGAGTTTTCTGATTCGTAGGCAAACTGCCACGACTCCGTGCTTGTCAGCTAATGTGTGCATCCCTTCGAGACACGCTTGGACTATTCAGATAGGCCTTCCTCAACAGTCAGGCGTAGGCCCAGACATCGCTCAGATCTTCGTATCCGCAACTAAGTCCCACAAACCCATGCAGTTTACACAATGCGGCTCTGCATCGTGCCCGTCCCATCCCGCTAGACGTAAGGCCCGTTCAGCGCTCCTACATACAGCGACTGCTTTCTTTTGTCAACCCACTCCTTCAACGGCTCTGAGATATCTATGTGACTCTTCTTCATCTGCCAAAACTCCGCCGGCAAGGACGAATCATCACCCGTATCAACCTCCACTATCGCAGCCCGGAGAACAATATCCTGTCTCCGAGCCAAAGCCCACCGCCGCCCGCTCATGCTGATGCCATGCATCAGCGTGTCGAAGATCGGCTCTCTGGGCTGACTCATCTTGCGGTACATGATGAGTTTGAACCGTGCTGCGAGGAAGAGCATGGTGCTCAGTAGGGGCGTGTTAAGTTCGAGGTCCGCGTCGCTAATGCTGCGGAGTGCCATAGCTATGTCTTCGCAAGCTTGAAGCGAACGCTGCAGCGCGATCTCATTGCACGTTGACCCTTCACCTTCCACCAATCGCGCATACAGTATGATGACGCTCGCATGTGAGAGGATGCTGGTGAGGACAAGGTTCGGGTCGAAGTCAATTAGGCCGTCGGCCAGCAAGGTATAGCTGCTAGGCGGCTGAGCTCGAACATAGTTCATCAGGTTATGGTATATCTCGTCACATGTAGCCAATGCGCGCCCGTGGCCTTGGTCGTATCTTCCCTGCTCATGCTCGTACAAGAAGTTGTGCACAGGTTGCAGCCCTATTGCAGACAAATGGATATGGCTCCGAAACGAGTCGCGGAGATCTGGTGTTGATACATATGCCACGCTGGACAGATGATCCATCACGGCAGCCGACACATCCCGCCATGAAATGCCCAACGTCGAGACCGCATCGACGGCAAGCGATGCCCAAGTCAGCGGAACGGCAAGTTCTTCTCCAGTGTTTGTCCCGATAGCAGGCGGACCGACTTGAGCAGGACTCTGAGTCTGCATCTGGTTCAGCAGTTTGCGGAATAAGCCGATGTTTTCGCAGATGCGTCGACAAACCGACATCAGACTGAATGTGCTTGGCACGTTATCCGACCCATAGTCCAAGATGGCCACTACCAAGAGTGCTTGGAGAGATTTCACCGATGCCTTCGAGAATGCTTCGTCCACCACCTGTGATCGGAGATATCGCGAGAGTCGATGCCGGCCATGATATCCCAGGCAGATAGCCTGGCTTGAATATGCCAATTGAAGTGAAATGACAGCCTTCAGGACCAAATCATCGATATGTGTCAGAGGGACTGGAAGGGCCTCCAGCGCAGTCTGCAGATGTTGCCGGCTCATGATGGGCAGCCATGGCTGGGTTTCTTTGAACCAAAGGTCCACCAAAGTATGCAGGTAGGCATGTGGCAAGGTCATCAAGTCTGCAACAGCGGCATCTGACTGTGCGTGGCTGTCACTCGGATGCGCCCGCTGGTTGCTGGGCACTGGTGGAGTGTTGGAAACCGAAGCTTGAGCTGGGGAAGGGCAGATGGATATCGGTTGTGCCATAACGGGTGTAGCAAGTGTAGGGGTAAGTGTAGCGTCTGGGGCCGCCGTGAATGGCGTACTGCGTTCATGCTTGAACCTCGCGACGTCTCGCTCCAAGGCCTCTTTGCACAGTTAGACAAGGTGAGCGGCGAATCGAGTTCTCTGTTAGATACCTATGCGATTCTCCAGTTGAGTCACATAGCCAGCTCGGAGACCGTGCTTCTTCGTTTTGGTCACATATTGGCAACGCACTTTCGCTTTGACGCAGAACGAGCAATTGGGAAGTTGGCGATCACATTTCGTCTTTCTTTGTCGGCACAGGTAGCACCTGGACCAACATGTCAGTCACGGGTAAGCAGAGGTCGATACTGGCACTCACACTGTGGAGCTTCTTTGCTCTGAAGCAGAAGTTTCCGGACTTTCGCTGCGCATTTTCAACCCGGAGACACAAACAATGGAAGAGATGCCTGGAATTCAACAGAGGAATGAGTATTCTTTGATCAAGTGAAGGCGTCATCGGCGGGAGAAGGGCCGACTACCCTTTCTGGGTGACGTTCCCGTTGTTCCAATCGGCGCAACTTGGCCCGATGCATCTCGATTCTGATGTGGCAATGCTTCGTGGACTCATATGATTGAGCAATGTATAACATGCCGGTTCTGCTGGAAGAATGGCATTTCGTACAGTGAGAAGAGTTCGTCTAATCTCGCTCGTTTCTCACACAAGAAGTGAGGACGCAGCCGACGGGCGTCATGGCTTTATCGGTATGCAAGTCGTTCAGGACCGCAGGATCGAATAGCTGACCCATCAGAACCCATCAGTCTTTCTATATGGTCCCGGAAAGGCACGGATTGAGGACACGCCAGAGCCAAAGATCACAGACCCTACCGATGCTATAGTCAGAGTCAAGTTCGTAGGAGTCTGCGGGAGCGATGTGTGCAGCCGGCACTCGTATTGTTGTCTCGGCACGTAAATCTGACATCCTCCAGGTCCATTTCTGGAATCATGGCGGGCTCAATGGGAAGTTTGTCTCGGAGTCACAACCCTTGGTGATGGGCCATGAATGCTCGGGCGTCGTCTACGCTGTCGGCTCATCCGTCAACCATCTTAAGCCCGGCGACAATGTCGCGGTCGAGCCCGGCCAACCATGTCGCTCGTGCGACAGGTGCAAGGAAGGGCTATACAACCTCTGCCCTGAAATGAAATTTGCGGCCTGTCCTCCAGATACCCCAGGATGCTTGACGAAATTCGTCAAGATTCCAGCCGACTTTTGCTACAAGTTGCCACCAGGGGTTAGTCTGCAGGAAGGCGTCCTGGCAGAGCCCATTGCGGTGGCAGCCCATGCGGTGCGGATGATAGGACTCAGACCTGGCCAGAATCTGGTGATATTTGGTGCTGGCACAATTGGGCTCGTGTGCGGTGCGGTTGCGCGGATCTTCGGAGCCAAGAAGATTGTGTCGGTGGATCTCCTAGACCACAAGCTGGAATTCGCGAAGGGTTTCAGCAAATCGAGGACGTTCAAGCCAGACTTGACTGCCTCGCCGGAAGAGAACGCGGCTCGGTTGATAAGAGAAAACGAACTGGGCTTGGGCGCAGATGCCGTGATCGAGGCTACGGGAGCAGAAACTTCCGTCATCACTGCCATCCACGTTCTCCGGCCCGGCGGCCACTGTGTGCAAACAGGGCTCGGAAAGCCAGTGATCAACTTTCCCATTTTGGCCATGAGTGAGAAAGAGTTGCACATGCACGGAGCTTTCAGGTATAACCAAGGAGACTTCAAGGTCGCCATGGATGCCATCGAAGCTGGAAACTTCCCCTTCAAAAGTCTGATCTCCAACATTTTTGAATTTGAGCAAGCGACAGACGCGTGGGAAGCAACCAGACAGGGGAGGGGTATCAAGAATATGATTCGAGGCTATGGATATAGAGATCCCGCCAGAATTAGCCATTTGTGATGTCAGCAACTGTGAATCGGTTCCATGCCTCGCAATCATTGCAGACGACTATTGCGCCAGCGAGGGTCGATATAATATGGCAAATTCAGCTGACAAGGTCGTTCCGACATAAAGCTGATAATATACAATCTGTATGACGTAGGAAAGGCAGGTTTTCAATGCTGACTCCATTCGATGGTGTTCAAGTCAATTCCTTCTTGGACAAGCTCCCACAGTGGGCTGAGCTCTCTCAAAAAGGTGACTCGCTCCTTGACGGCCTTCAAGACATAGTCGATTTCGCTTGTCGTGGTGAAACGCCCAATGCCGAAGCGAATGCTACTGTGGGCACTTTCGTCGCTGTTTCCGAGAGCCCTGAGGACATAGCTAGGCTCCAACGAAGCAGATGTACAGGCACTGCCGGAAGACAGCGCGATGTCCTTAAGCGCCATTAGAAGAGACTCGCCTTCGACGTAGGCGAAGGAGACATTAACGCAACCAGGGTAACGCCGAGTAGGGTCGCCGTTCAAAGAGGTATGCTCCAAGGAAAGCAGGCCATCGGTGAGTCTTTTGGAAAGAGCCTCGATGCGCTTGGTGTCGTACTGTAAAATGTCAAAGTCAGTAAGATTTCTAAATCAGACAACCTCGGAAGACAAAGAGCACTCGGATCCAGTCATAACCCCTGCTATGATAATCAATGCTGTGACATCGTGCTTGAAGCCACATGCTCAGAAAGCCATGCATGTTAAATAAAGCATATAATCATAAAAGAAAGCGTTTGAGAGGATGCAGAAGAGCACTTACCGGCATCTCTGCTTTGGCAATGCGGCACGCCTCTCCGAATCCGACAACAAGATGGGGAGCAAGTGTGCCACTGCGGAGGCCTCGCTCCTGACCTCCGCCACTAATGATGGGATCGATTCTGACGCGAGGTCGTCGTCTGACGTAACAGGCACCAATTCCCTTGGGCCCGTAAATCTTATGGCTGGAGATCGACATCAAATCCACGTTCCAGGCATTGACATCGATAGGGATCTTGCCGACAGCCTGGGCGCCATCGGTGTGGAAATACACCTTCTTTGACCGGCAAAGCTGGCCGATTTCTTTCATGGGCTGGATGACGCCGATTTCGTTATTGACGGTCATGATGCTGACAAGGGCGGTCTCGGGCCTAATGGCCTCTTCCAACTGCTGCAAGCTAATCAAGCCGTGTGAGTCGACTGGGAGATATGTGACTTCAAACCCCTCGTCTTGTAAGTGGCGGCAGCTGTCCAAGACACATTTATGCTCTGTCTGGCTTGTGATGATGTGTCTCTTCTTGCCTGACCGGCCGAAAAACCTGGCAACGCCCTTGATGCTCATATTATTGCTTTCAGTCGCGCCACTGGTGAAGATGATTTCTTTAGGATCAGCGCCAATGAGCTTGGCGACATGTTCTCTTGCTTGTTCCGCAGCTTTCTCGCTCTCCCATCCGTAGGCATGTGTCCGAGAATGAGGATTGCCATAGAGACCAGTAAGGAAGGGTAGCATGGCGTCGAGGACTCTAGGGTCGACAGGTGTAGTAGCCTGAGCATCGAGGTAGATGGGACGAGTACCCTGGTCCATGATTGTGGCTTGCTTCAAAATCCCGGCGGATGGACTCATCATTGTGTCGGCACTCATACTCGTCCCTGGGACGTTGACTTCTGAGGGAGCATTGCCGCTCTGTTGGATAAACTTCTTCTGGTCTGCTTTGATGGCGGCATCAATGTCGGCGACCTGGGCATTGGATGGCTTCGACTCGGAGACATAGTGGCGACCCTGGGTTGCGATGGAAGCACCTCGCAATTGCGACGAAGTCAGAGATGTGGATGAAGTAAGCCTTCGAGCACAGACTCTCGACGCCTGTCTCATCATAGACGAAGCAGGAGCAGACATTATGAAGATATCTTGGACCAGCTGAATCTGTGGGTTACAAACGATGGTGAGGGCGAGGATGATGAAAATGCGAGAATCACAGCTAATGGAGTGATTTGATCTGATTAGATCACTATGCTCGGGCGACCTTCCAGCCGAGCTCGGGAGGCCTCTTCTTCGGCACCGAAGCACTTGTACGAGTAGCACAGCAGGTAAATGTGGTAAGACAAGCTAGTTAAACTGCAGGGTAGGTAAGCACCCGCCCAGTCAGCAACCCTTTAACTGCAGTATCTCAACGCAGCTTCAAGAGACACTCTTGCAAGTATCTTTTGGTCGCACCCTTCTGCGCAAGCTTCAATTCTGTCATTACTCCCACGCACTGGACACTTCCCGAAGCAAAGACTCGAACGTGTCTTCCGCCGCCTTCCAATCTTCCCTACCTAGGGACGCACAGCCACATCGCAGCCGTGCTGCGTCATTGATTTCTTGTCGCCGAGGGCGTGCCCAGCGAAAGTGTCCCGCATCCTCCGAGAGCCCAAGGCCCCTCTATTCGATTCCTCCACCACCGCCATCTCTCCCGCTTAGGCACCAGGAAATCCACTGCGTACACAGCTGCAACTCTGCGCCGTAACCACTCCTTCCGCCACGCTCCGGCGCATTCTCGAGGTCGCTACGAGGGGAACAAGCGCGAACAGTCAGTCTCGCCAAGATGAGTCTGAAAGGCGTAGGCAAGAGCCTCACCCGGGCGCCACAATCGTTCAAGCAGCGCTTTAATATTGGCGAGAACACCAAGGACGCCGTCTATATCGATGCAGAGCGACGGTTCCAGGAGCTCGAAAAGGAAACTAAGAAACTGCATGACGAGTCGAAGAAGTACTTCGAGGCCATTAATGGTATTGCATTAGCCACAACTACGAGGACATACTGTCAGGCTGACTGTCATAGGCATGCTGAACCACCAGATCGAGTTCTCAAAGGCCATTCAAGAGATCTACAAACCCATATCTGGGCGCGTCTCGGACCCGAACTCGCTGATTCCCGAAGGCAATCCGGAAGGCATTCGAGCCTGCGAAGAATACGAGGCCATTGTGCGGGAGCTGCAGGCAACACTACAACCTGAGCTGGAAATGATCGAACAGCGGGTAATAGCCCCTGCCGACCAATTACTCGAGGTCATCAAAATCATCCGCAAAATCAACGTCAAGCGAGATCACAAACAGCTGGATTATGACCGTCACCGGACGACCCTGAAAAAGCTGCAAGATAAAAAGGAAAAGACGCTGAAGGACGAAAAGGCTCTTTTCAAAGCAGAAAATGACGTGGAACAAGCCACACAGGACTACGAATACTTCAATAACCTGCTGAAAGACGAACTACCTAAACTCTTCGCCCTAGAAGCCGAGTTCATTCGGCCCCTCTTCCAGTCGTTCTACTACATGCAACTCAACGTCTTCTACACCCTCCACGAAAAGATGCAAGCCATCAATATCGGCTACTTCAACTTGAATCTGGATATTGAAGAGGCCTTCGAAATGAAGCGAGGCGACGTCCAGGAACGAGCAGAGGCTCTCTCGATAGTCCATTTCAAGACTGCGGGAGGAGCGAAACCCCGTGGCGTCTCAAAATACGCCAGCTTCGGCTCTAAGGGCAAAGAAGCAGAGGCGAATAGCAGCCTTAAATCACCATATGGCAGTCGGAGGACAGCTAACCCTGAGGACGGCGTTGCCAATCCACCTCCGCCATACTCGCCCAGCGGCTCAGCAAGTGCGCCCCACAGCCCTGCTATCGGCAGTCCTGCGATCGGAAGCCCGGCTCTGGGCGCGGCGATTGCGGCTAAGGGAAAGCCTCCACCACCGAAGCCGAAACCCTCTCGTCTGAGCGGCGTTCCGGCTGCTGAGACTTGTACGGCATTGTACGACTACGAAGCCCAGGCGGAGGGAGATCTCAGTTTCCTTACGGGGGAAGTTATTGAGATCGTACACAGGACGTCAAACGAAAACGAATGGTGGACGGGGAGGGTCAACGGGCGACAAGGACAATTTCCCGGTAAGTTGAGCTTGCAATGTCTCTGTTCCTGTATTCTTCAATGGGTTTTCGTCTTTGCACAAAGGGCTGATCGAAGCAAATAGGAAACTACGTGCGCATGAATTAGAAGCCTGAACACGCGCCTTGGACATGCATTTGAAAATAATTATTGACATATGACAAGACGTCGTTCATGCGCATACCTCTATGCGTGTATACTTCTGCACTGAGAACCGCCACACTATCGAACGAGCCCACGCCCGGTACGACGCTCTGAGTACCCGAATTGTTGGGTGGTGATATGATTCCTGAGCAGAGCTGATCTGTCCGATCCGCGGGGGTAGACCCGTGAGCGCGGCTGAAACCCACGGTCATGCATGGTATCGGACTGCTGGTAACATTGGCGGGACTGTTTGATAGAATGAATGGTCGGGAAGTACATTACGTACCTATATAAGATGGTTAGGATGTGTATACAATCCAACCACCTCTTCACCTCGAGCCTTGTCTTGCTTTGCGACCACTCCCCAACTTCGCACGGCCTCTGTCTTGCTTTGTTCGCAATCACAATCGCCATCGCCACCCAGCCCAGGTCAACCCAGCCCAACCAGTCCCTGTGCCAAAGCCATGTTGGCATTGTGAGTTGTCTGCACCGCTCACGAACAAACAGTCTCTCACGTTTGGCATATAGATGCGGTAGGTGATCAATTTCAGTCCGAACACGAGACGATTTCCGCGATGGAGTCTTCTCATTGGCCTTGCCATTGTCCGAACAGCACCGCGTATTCTGTACCGTGTATCCGTAGCGGTCCTCATGTCCAACCTGCACTACCGTCGTGATACGGGATACCGCCCGCCTACTGGGGATATCGACCATTTATCCAAACACCAGCTACGAGTCGAGATATCGACCGTTAGTCGAGATTTTTTATCGATCACAATATGAGATATCCATCGTCGAGAAGCCTTAACTACTACTGCTACGTATCCGAGAGATCTGCATGGGTTTTCTATCCGTGGCTATATCTGTATCCATATCTGTAGTTATACTCCGTCGTTACTCAGTATGTGCCGAAAAGAGATACTTCCCCCTAATGAGCATACAGCAGAATAAGGGATAGTCGACGTACGAGGATAAGGAAAGGCCGGAGACGAGACTCATCAACAAGTACAAACGCGTCAGAATTCACGAGTCGCGAATCACGAATCACCAGCCATCAGGCCAATGGCACAGCAAGAGTCCCAGTCAGGCCAAAGCAAGGAATGATGGAACGATGGAAGCCAGCCAGATTGGTTTGTTGTTTCTATCTCTCTCCCTCTTTGCCTCTTTCGTACTCCGCCGTTGTGTTCGCCTTTGCCTTCTTCTAGCACCTTCCTTCTCGAGACATACACCTACATCGCTCATCGTAGCCAAAAGCCCTGATTAATCGCTAGGTACGCAGCATTTTCGCGCCATGTTGTCCGTGTCCGTGTGCGGTTGTGTGTACTTGTCGTAGGAGCAGGAGTACGAGAAGGTGTTCTGGCTCTGGCTTTTCCTTTCCCCTTCCCTTCGTCCTGTTGATCGCCGGATGCGGTCGTCGGGTCGATTGGCCTGGAGAAGTGATCGGATCCTTGGGTTTTGTTGCCGAACGCGGGCCAAGACGATGGCGGATCGAGGCCCAGGGCTTGGGCTGTGGCGTCTCCTTGAGGTGGAACCGCCACGTCAGGCTCCGGTTTGTCCTCTGCGGCCGTGGAGAGATTCGGAGTCGCGTGGAAGTGGGCGTGGACGGCATGAGTGCTGGGATCCGGACTGAGATCGAGATTGTATGCTTCAACTGCTGCTTCCCCCTCGAGCTTCAACCTCTTGGGTCGTTCGGCTAGACTTGGACCCGCGAGATGCCGAGATTCCTCTTTTGCCACGAGTGAGACATCATCCTCGACAGTCGGTGGTGCATGCTCGAGGCCGCCGCCGGTCTTCCGCTTCCTCTCGCGCTGTGGCATGGCGAACGTGCCGTCCAGTCGCCTCATGCCTGTAAATCCGAAGGTGGGATCGAAAGAGATGAAGACGAGAGCTCGTTCGGGGGAGCCAGGCTCCCGAGGCGGACCGGCCATGTAGATGATGCCTTCGTCACCGAGAATCGCGCTGACGTCGCCAGCCCTCCCGTCGGGGCAAAGAACGTCGTATAGCTCTTGAGGTGCATCATCCGGTGGCCACAGATAGACACTGCTGGGCGAGAACATTCGCTCACTGTCCTCTAGCTCCATTTCGTCCCGGTCCTTGATCCGCGGCCGAACCATCACAGCCGCTGGATGCAAGGACCTCTGATCCCTGACAAGCGGACTGAGCTCCTGTCTGCTGACTACACGGAGACGGATGCGCTGCCGCGGTCGCCACTCTCCCTCCGGGATGAACTCGTCCGTGACGAGGTCGACAAAACACTGCGTGTTGAAGCTGTACCCGTTCCATTTCGTCTTGGCCCGAATATACTCCTTGACGGTCTCCTCGTTGGTGGCCGGAAACTCCGTGTGCACGTACCGGTCGATCCGCACGCCGGGCTCCTCGTACCTGCTATTACTGGTCTCGTCCAGCGTGCTGATCAGGCGGTCGTTTGTCGGGGGATGGCGCATGCCTTCTTTGAGGTCCTTGAGCCGGACCCGGTCCAGGGATTGCGTGTAGTAGGTTCGGATCGACCTGCTGCCCCCGTTGGCCCACTCCTTTCTGCATTCGACGAGCAACAACTCGCCGGTGCGCTGATCGATCTGGAATCCGAGGTCCGTCCAAGCGTCGTTGATCGGCCCCTCGAGGTGCTGTCGGCGCCAAACGACCTTGATGACCAGCTCGGGCTGCGGGTCGTCCACCCGGAATCTGACCACGTGGTAGTAGCTTGTCCAGTCCACCTCCTCGCTCTCCAGACTCGTTTGGTTTGTCACGGCGTAGAATTCGTCTTGGTGGAGGGTGAAACATGCCGTGGATCCTATCTCGGAGCCGTAAAACCCCTGCAGCTGCAATGGTTCTGCGTGGACAGGCTCGGCCGTGTCGAGATGGAAGGCCTGCAACAACCATTCGTGGTGGCCATGGCTGCCCGTTGCAGAATGCGAACCCATAACCAAGTACTTATCCGTATGTCTCACGAAGAGCTTGCTGTTTGACCGGAAGCGGGAACACAAACGGACACGAGGATGCAGACCCTGGGTCGAAGAGCCGCTTGACGGCGTGGCGTCAGAGACGTCGATGGCGAAGACGTATTGGCCGAACGCGCCAAAGTCACAGTGCAGAACCGTTATGTCATGGGCGTAGCCTAGCACTTGCATCGAGTGGAGAGAGTCGAGATCTAGAAGTCCCGTTTGCAGTTGGGTGACGGCGATGTGATTGACAAGCACACGGCCCTCGAACACCTTCTCCGTGGTCCTCTGGGCATTGAAGTTCAGGATACGAAGGTACCCACCTACTGTATAGCACAGCATCCCTGCGCCGTAGGCGAAAGTCGAGGCGTATGCTATAATCGAGGTCGAATAGGGCGAGGCTTGTCGTAAAGCAGTCTGGCACTGATGGATGCGACCCAGCGTCTGCCTCTGACTGGTATGCGACTGTGACTGCGCGAGCTGCACCCAAAGATGTCGTGGGAAGGTGGCCTGGCGTTCTGTGTCAGTGGGGGATCTCGATCAAGAGGGCAAATCAGACCTGTAAGGCGTTCCTGGCCGAATGTTCATTCTGAAGATGGCGATAGAGCGGCTTGCAGGTCCTGGCAAGACTCTCGTAGGAGTGGATATCTAGTCGTTTCGCAATCTGATACACGACATCATACGGAAGTGACTCAAGCCCAGTGAACATGCCCAACAACGAAACAAGATGGGGCTTGCGGTCGATGAGCAGACCAAACAGTGACGGGCCGGTATGACACATAGCATGGTGGAAGCCCAGTTTCGGTGTTCAGAACACGGCCATTGCGAAAGCAAGCACAGTACACCATGAGCGAAAGGCAACAAGGCTGGGGGAGGGTGGTCCATATAGATCTCGTTTCCACCATCTTGGAGTGAAAAAGTCAGGCTGGCCATTGAGGGAACACAGGAGAAGGGAGCTCACTCGCTCCCTGCCGCAGAGCCTCAAGTCATCCTCGAATGCGAGCGAAGCCATGAAGGGATAAGCTAGACTGCAACGGACATGTAGAGTAACTTTCATATCGGGTGATACCGAAGAAAAGGACCAGAGAGCTGGAGAGAAACCAAGGAAGCCGACGGTGAGAAGATGGACCAACAGGAGGAGCGCAAACAGAAGGCGCCCCAGTTTTTGAGCCTCATGCCTGGGCTAAAAGGGGGGCCTTGCGAGGCGGCCTCTGCAAGTCCGAGCACCCCGGTCCTGGTTCCTCTGCTGCCCCAACTGTGTACTATATATCAGTACGACTCACCGGTCCCCCTTGCACCCTTGCAGACAAACAGAAACAGATGCCAGGGCATCTTCAGTGCATCCTGCAGCCACGACCAGCGCATCCGTCGCCACGTGATGCAGTGTAACCGGGTGTGAGCACCGCTTGGTCTGCCTGTAGGGTTGCTCCAGGCTTGGACGAGTTATAAATCCTTGCCCGCCCACCTCATGTGCAACGCTCAGCCTCCTTACCTGTGCCCAAGCAAAGTCTATTGCACTGCCTCTCTCTGCCTCCCCTCTGCCTCGAGACCAGCTGGGATGCTCGGAATCTTTTGCCTGCGCCGTAAGGCAATCCCGCATAATCATTATGATCACGCACACTCGATGTGGCTGGATCTCTCGTACTGTGCCGCCTCGCCCACAACCATTAGTATCATACTTGCTTCCCGTGCATCCTGGATGGGTTTCTGAGCAACTTTCTCCTCGAATTGCGTGTCAGCTGAAGCACCTGGCGGCCGTGGAATACCCCGCCACATCGCCCTTTGGCTTCCAACCGGGTCACATGGGAAGGCAGCGGCACCTTCAAGCAATCCCGCGATATCGATGCCCGAACTTTACGCAAAGGATGACAGTCCGGCTGAGAAAGCAGAGCTGCATTTCACGCGCCCTGTCGCATGACACCACTAGAGCTCCTAACTTTCTGAGGTGAGGCTGCCAATCTGCAACGTGAGGGATATTGCTCCTCCAACGGGCAGTGAATCGACCTTGAAGGCATGGCTGCGCGCCGGGGTTCGTGGAAGCCGTTATCGTCCTCGGATGGGCATCAACTCCGGTACAGCTCGCTTAAGGGAAAAGTCGAATCAATGCAGCAATGCTAGCGGAATATGCCTCCTCGACGCAGCTTCGGACCCGGCTAAAGAGGCTTTCTGGCTTAGCAGACGCAGCTATCAGGAAGGCCATTGCGTCGTGTCTGCGCCTTGCCACTATGAAGGTATGTACAAAGCCCGAGGATATTAATTCCCGGGTCGCGTAATTGGTCTTTGCAGGAGAAAAGCCTGCAGAGTGCCCGAACAGGTAGAGGACGAATTCTGTGGTCCTTCAGAGAAAGAGTCTACGCATGGCCTGACGTGTCGCGTAGATCATGGGTGTACTCAGCCGGTGACGCCGTCCTTGAGACGTCTTGCGAGATCTCGGCCGTGTAAAGCCAGAGGCCGCAGGAGCCGCCGCAGGATGGGGTCTTTCCTAAGCAGCTTCACGAACTCCGATTGACACCTCCAACGAAAAAGCAGGACAGCGGGCTGCAGTTGGTAAGAATAGCGGCGAGTTAGCAGGCACGCAAGGTCTCTGAAGGCACCCAACTCTGTTTGGCTTGGGCTCTGGAACCCGCATCCCGTCGCTAAGCTGGTCGAACTCAAAACGCAAACCTAATGACCATTCAGGGCTGGCTTTGCCTTCGCCGACTTCGTCGCCCTGACCTCGGCGGGGGGAAAGCATGCTTAGCGAGAGCAGCACTTGTTAGGTACATTGTGCATGCTAGATAAGCGAAGCTTCAGCGGGAGAAGACGACATTCCAGGTTCTCTGGGTTCGGGGCCCCTTGTCTAGCTCTTGTCCCATTTCCCATATCTGTGGTAGTCATCATACAGGTTCTTAAAGACTGCCCTGGTGCTCGGATCCATGCCGGCGTTCATCGCCCTTAACATGTCTCTATCAATCGCATCCAAGACTCTGTACATGCCTGCCATCAATTGGTCCTTCGTCGATGGCACTATCTGGCCGTCTAGGAAGCATCTGCAATATTCTGAGACAAGATACTGCATGTGCTCGCCTGCCAACTTCCGTGCTTTCTTCACCTCATCATTGAGCTCGTTGCGCCTCTTGTTGGATGACCGTGCTGCTGATACCGTTGGATTGCATACCGACGACAACAATCTCGATATCTGATCTGCTGAGGAAAGTGACAGAGGTCCGCTAGAGTCCCGCACCCATCCCGGCAGAGTTTTGCCGAATGTGACCAGAGTCTTTACCGCCGTGCCTCGATGACTCTTAACGGATTTCTTTCCGGGCCAGAAAAGGCACCGTAAAAGAGCTTGTAATACAGGAAGCAACAAATGGTAACGGTCGGAAAGGCGGCGGCGGTGTCTTCCAAGTATAGCTCCGACCACGACACATAGCCGGTCGTATAGGTGTCCCGCAGAGGGCATGGACTCTAGCTTGGTCACATCCTTTGCATGTGCAGTTCCGGTTGTGGAAGAGGCGACGATGCGGAGAGACGACAGTAATCGGTCAAGGGTCGATTGGTTGATAACGACAGGGTGAAGCTCAAGCACTTGTTTGCAATTTTCCAAGGCAAGTGCTAGCCCTACTTCCTGTAGCTGCTCTGCATGACTGGGCAGCGATGCAACTTCTGCAAGTTCCTGGGCCAGCCATGGATATTGTGCAATGTGTTGTTGCTTGACATGTGTCAGCACTGAAGCCACTACGACAGCGCATGTGGGTTGACAGGAAGCGTCCTGGCTCTTTTGACGGAGGACTTGAAGCAGCATCGACCACTCTCCTGCTCCTCTTTGGCGAGTAAAGAGGTCGGCTCTGGCTGCAAGGGAACTGATTGTGGAATGCGTCCAGACTCCCGAGTGATCGTCGCAGGAGAGCAGCTCCTGTAGCCATTCGCTTACTTCCTCCTGGACATGCCCAGCTTCGGACTGCATTCCCAAGCTGAGACATTTGCGTCGGATCGACAGACCTACTTGACCATTGAGCTTCGCAAAAGGACACTCGGCGTGGGAATGGTCGAAGCCCCTCAGCTTGTCTATGAGGATGCCGGTCGCTTGCTGGATTGTCTCTTCCGTCTCGAAAGCGAGGCGACTAACAAAACCGTCCAGAGCGAGCTTCAGCAGGAAAATAGTATTCTGAGTCAACGGTTCCTGCGACATCAGTTCAAGATGGTGTATAGTCCTTTTGTGGTAGAATTTCTTCATCTCTTGAAGCCGTTGATCTTGGACAATAGCCTTGTCACTGACAGTGGAACGAAAAGCGCAGAGCAAGAGCATCTGAATGCAGGAGAACGGTAGAGTCTCTGGCAAGGGCGACTGCTTCTCGGATTCTTCGAATCTCTTCACCATCCAGGAAACGTGGTCGGTGGAAGATGTTGTGTTGTGTAGAGCAATGGCTCGTGTCCATATCGCCTGAAGCACTTGCTTCAGCATCTCGACCGCCAGCAGATAAGTATTCGACAGATGAGCTCTTTTTATCGCAGCAAGTGGAGAGGGGTCTGCGTGTTTGAACTCGAATTGTGTAGCTGACAAATTCCACCATTCGTCCAAGTGCTTTGTGTTGATGAAAATTCCGGGAAACAGAGTGTCCAGGTAAATCAGATAACTCATGTCTTTGGCAATCGAATCCCGCGTTGGGCTGTCAATACTCTGGAACAATCGGTCGCGCATTCCGTTGGCGAGCTTGTCCACCGAAACTCTGCCCATCGTCTCAATACCGAGACTTTCGAGAACACTTCTACATACCATCAAATCAGTTTCGCCTGACGGGAGCGCAGCAGTGATACCTTCCAAAAGGGTTTTTCGAAGGAGTGGAGCACAAACGACCGCGTCGTCTTGCAGCACGGCCATCCAGAGATCAAGCAGATTCGGTGAAGGTGTCTCAGCAAGCTTCGATGGCGGAGATTTTGTTACTTCTTCAACACAGTCGCCGATGAACTGACGGAATACATCCGGGTACATTGAGAAAACCGAACGTCTCTGCAACAGCCTGCCAATGCATGCTATCACAAGTCCCTCAACGTCGCAGCACTCCACGTCGCGTCCATTCCACAAATGCGGTCTGTTTGTCATCTGAGCGGCTTTCTCTTGCAGGTGATGCATCTCCACCTCCATCTTGGACACGAAACGTCGTGATTTGGCAGCCAGCTCAACAACAAGAGTGAAGCACTCAAGGCACTCGAGGAATTTCCCCGACTGCGTTCGAGTGTGGTCTGGATCGAAGGAGAATGCGCTGTTCAAGGAAACAAAATTGCAATTAGGTTCCAAGAGAGAATCAACCCAGGGAGGGAGCGCTTCAAAGCCCGCGGACTCGACGAGCAGTCGTATAAGCTTTCTTAACCTCCAGCGTTGACCTTGAAAGTCAGACTTCCGACGCAGAACATCCACGGCCCCGAACAAGAGAGAAGCCAGCTGATCCATAGAGAGTCCTAGCTGTTCACCGCTGGAATATGTGCTCTCCAGCAAGGCTGAGAAGGTAGCCAGTTTTGCGAACTCTTCAGTCGTAGATCCGATTTTGTCTCCTAGCCCCTTGACGGATTCGACCACGTCTTCCAGCATTCGCGAGGCCAGACCTGGTGGTGCATGAAGCACGCTGAGCGTCTTGAACTCATCGAATACATCATCATCCTCCCACACTAGCATAGCCGGGATTTCGTCTTGACTGTACTTCGACGTGTAGCGAGTCCGTATAGAATCTGCCAGGCATTGTTGCCACGCCTCGACAAATACACCATAGGCCCTCGACCGAGCACAGTCGCGCATCAAAGGTAGAATAAGCCGATCTCGCAGTAAGTCGTACTCGCTCCTGGTGACAGTGCTGGATTCAATTCTACTCACGACTTGACTGAGAAAGGTCCTCGAGGCAAGCGCAGTAGAAACCGGAACTAAAATATTCGAGTCCAGTTGGATGACTTTGACCAAAAGCGACCAAGGCGCGGATTGAGAGTCAGTATCCAGCACGGCTTGAAGGATGTAGCTGACGATGGGTATTGAGATGTGCAGCCTTCGTGAGCGAGCGACATCGAGAAGAAGCTCCAACGGAGACACCCAGGCGCTTTGGTCCTCGGCGAACTGCTGGCGAAGGATTCCTGTTGAAGTGACACGAGGGATATGTGGCCAGGTGACATGAACCAGCCATATTAACAAAGAGTCGAGATAATGTTGTTCTTGCTGACGCCTCCTAAGGTCCGTAAATGAGATCGATCGCGCAGCCACATCAAAGATAATCCACGAGGACCTCTGCACGGATGATCCAGATACCACCTGCGAGACATCAGACCCATCCTGAGAGGGTCGGGCCTGACGGTTATAAGCCCGAAGTAATGTATCCATCTGTTCATAGAGAAGAATGTCGGCCGTGGCTCTCCATTTCTTTGTGAATTGCTCGCTGAATGTTGTGCGCAGAGGGAAGACAACATTTACTGCGATCAGGCGCTCCAGTGTAGTCCTTGACGGCATCAAGGGCGTCTGGTTGAAGCGGGCATCCATTAGATGGTCAAGGAGAGATAAACAGGGTATTAGGCAATGGGAGGCGAAGGCTTGTTGCCGCTCATCGTCCTTCAAATTGCTAACCGATACATTGCTTTCCCAGAAGGAAAGCGTAGCATTAAGCATAGCCGCAACTAGAGTTTTGTCTGGGATTCTAGAGCCGTGTCGTACAATAGAAACGATCGACTCGAGCAAAACCCCAAGCAAGGTAGATTGGGTGTGCAGGCTACCGGTCCATAAAGGAGCTTGACGAGATGACGCAGCGACGTCTGAGGACGAGGAACTGAAGAGATCGACGCAACGACACGCGGCATGTGAAGCAATCCAAATGGTCCTGTCGAGCTCAACTGCGCCCTTTTGCTGATGGTCGGATGCTGGAGAGAGTCTTCTTTTCTTGGTCGGTGGACCTTCATGATCATAGTCTGTGGTAGAAGCATCAAACGTCGTCAATCCACGTCCCTGGTGGACAAGAACTTCTCGGATCATGTCGGCGAGCGCTGCGTAGAAGTGTCGCTCCGAGAGGATTTCGGAGCATACATCACTAGGAATTGAGCACGTCAGGCTGAGAAGTAATGACCAGAACTTGGCGTTGGCTGCGAAACTGGAGAAGCTGTTAGAGATCGTACAATTCAATATCGGCGTAGATATGCCACACCTTCTCTGAGCTTCTTCAGCAGCACCATTGGATTTCGAATCTGGCACACCCAACTTCAGCTTCCTCAAGAGCCAGCGCAAGACCCACTGTTCTTTGAAACCTTGTGAGCCGAACGTCGTCTTGGAGAACGGTCCAACAAAGCTACGTTGAATGGTCTGCTCCAGGTCGATTCCGAGTATCTTGGCTGCCTCGTCGAGAACAACTTCAGCTGGCCCCTGCATTCGTTCCAGGTCGGCCATACTTGCCTCGAAAGATACCCACACCATTGTGGTTGCGCTTGTCGAGAACCGTTCTCCAGACTCCACCCTCTCAAATCAAGTGAATCCGCAAGGCAAAGGCAGATTCACTGCCTTTTCAAATAAATCTCAAAATTATTTGATCCGGAAAAAATTGCCCCGATTCTCCTAGCCCTAGGGCGGGCCGTTCTAGCCATTCACGGTTAGCCGATCGCCCGTGTGCAGCAAAGCGCCTTACATAAGCATTCGTAGGTCCTTTTCCGACCTTCATCTCGTCTACACTTTAGACACTGCTCACACCTACTCCAGCTGATTCCAGCTCTTCTCTCGGGGAGCCATCGTTACGGATATTGTTGAATTCCTGCAATTGTCTCGTTCCATCCAGCAATGATCGCAACTATAGGCCAAGTCGCTTCAGTACTAGTTGAAACACCGTTGGGGGCTTTGGCCTACAGTACAGGTAACCAACAATCGATTGCGGCTGGACTAGCTACAGACTCTTCTTGAGAGCATAGTTGTGCTTTTATAGCAAGGTATCTGTTCCTACTGGCGGAAAGGGAACCAGTGGTGCGCAAGGTTCCCTCTGGCGACACTCTGGAATGGAGTGAAGCCAGGTCGACCGCGCTCCATTCCCAGCACCCGGGGACAAGACATGCTGCCATGGGTAACCCTTATAGGTAAGAGCTTACCCTCAATCCATGGCGGCTTTGGCTGTGGAGGTCAGGCGTGTTCAACCGGGGTTCGTGGCTCCAGGAGGTCAAAGGAGTGAGATATCTGTAGCCGAACACGCAGCTTCAGTCTCGCTTCTGGCTGTTCAGGTACGAGACGGTCTGGTGGTAGCCGGCACGTCGGTGTGTATCGATCGTGACACTAACACCAGTATCGTACTATATCGTGCCAGTGCTAGCCATCATTTTAGCAAGAAGATATCTGAATGGCCCTCCTCTACCGGAGGGTCCTCCCATACGATTTCGACAGAGCTTCGACAGGAATGGCTCCATGCCTACAGCACGGCTTACCGGCCATACAACTTGAGAACGATGAGGATCGACAGCATGAGCGATGAGCGAACTATTTATCAGGACATTTACATCTCCATAGACCACGTCGGCTTTCCCGCATTGTTATGCGCTTCCGTGCCAGCCGTGGAAGCCACCACCACTCCAGCCCTCTTGAGCCAAGCCTATATTGCTGCACATCTCCCGCTCTGAGGCCGACGGCTTCAAGGTCATGGGTTGTTGTGCGACGCGAAGGGGAATGTCCCAATCGCAGCTGGAAAGATTCGGACACGAGAGCCTCCGCTAGACTCCGAGTAGGATGTGCTGTGTGACCGGCCATAGCGCCTGCTCAGCCTCCTCAGGCTCATAGAACTAAATACCGGATGGAGAAAGCATAGGTCACAGAGTCGGCCAGACATTTGATCAGCATGAGACCCGCACTCAAGGCGGTGGCGGTGGCGGTGGTGGTGGCTTCCACGGCTGGCATGGGTTCGTATAGCAATGCTGGAAAGCCGACTGGTCTTCGTAGATACAGGGTATGTACCTCATGGGCAAGCACGGAGATAGTTACATACATACAGGCTCATAAGAGTAACGCGTGGCTGCAAAACGCCTGTTCCCATACACGCACGAACTGACACAATCCCTTCTCGTACATGTCCGGCACTGCGCGCGTCTACCAGGTGTGCATACATGGAGGAGCTAGACCTCACGCCATGGCACAGAAGCAGTGCCTGGGGATGGCCTACTCGCCCAGCTTCCCACCCGTGCCCTTCCTCCTCTCACTGAGCCAGCCGCCCTTGCCCTCGCCCGCCCACCTCTTCGCGCCAGTCCAGAACCTCACCAGGCCCTCGGCGCCCACCGTATCATTCTCGCGGTACAAATTCGCGACATCCACGTTCAATGGACTGTCCAACCCCGGCGAGCTCAGCAGCTGCTGGATGGCCCCCATGGTGGTCGACAGCGTGTACATCGGGGCCCAGTGCTCGCCGCTCAGCAACGTCAGACAGATCTCGCCGGTCGAGAAGTGCACGTTTGGATGACAGATCGGGGTGATGAACTGCACCTTGGGCGGCACCATTGGGTAGGTGGGCGGCACGGCGATGGAGAGCAGCCACAGGCCACCGAAGTAGGGCGAGGTCGGGTCGCGGGGGCCCTTGAGCACGGCTTCCCATTGGAAAAGGTCCTCGTCGTTGGAAGGCCCCAGGTGCAGCACGGCGTCGTTGGGGTTGGTTTGCAGGTCGGCGAGCTCCTGCGTGAGGCGTCGGAGCGCGCTTTTGGTCGACGACGACTTGCTGGAGCGCGGGGTGGATGTCATGGTTGACGCGCGGAGTGTCGGCAGGAAGTGAGGGTCGTGGACGAGACGAGAGCTGTGGAGAGATGGGGAGAGCTTTGTGAGCTACAGCGTGTACGCAATACTGCACGCACGGACACAAAGTCGTGAATAACTTGCAAAGTACAGTACGGAGTGTGGGCTTAGTGAAGCATTGGTGGTGAGGGTTGTTGGCAGGGCAGCCTCGCCAGCCTCCGGGCGTGGCCAACACATTCAATCAATCAATTAGCTGGAGACCCTGAGTCTCGAGCCACGAGCCTTGAGCTTTAGACTCCAGCCGAGGTTGTGCCTGATCTACAAGTCACGAGAGCCTCGAACGCGCTCACGCGCTTGAATCGCGGGGAGCCAAAGAGACCCGCCAAAAGTGCCTGGACAGATCCCTGCAGCAACTTTCTGTACTCCGTACTGCCGTGGCGATCATCGCCCCAGGTAAAGTACGATCTCGCTGAGCGAGCCCCTTCTGCCGGTCCTTACAAGCACGCCCCATCAGTTGAAGGGCCCTTACATCCTACGTTAGGCGCTTCCGAATTTCCATCCACTTTCCAAAATGCGCACGTCTCGCATCTCTCGGGACACGACACGGATCTTTTCTGCCCTATCGCCTAATGCGCGCACGGGGCGATCGACACGACGTTCGAAGCGGCTGGCATCCTTCGCGCTGGGGTATGATGGACGAGTTGAGGTGAAGGAGGAGGAAGAGGAAGAGGCGGAAGAAGAACGGGAAGCACAGGAAGTTGGGACACCGATTAGCGAAGAGCCTCCCAGGAGCCCCCTGATTCCAGATATCGAGGACGCAGTTCCTGCCTCGCGGCGTTCAAGCAGAAAGCGGAAATTCGGCGCCGAGACGCCCTTGAGAGATACTTTTGCAACGGAGACAGTGACGAAGCACGAGACCGCGGAGGCGTCGCCCAGCAAGACTAAGGAGGAGGACGCAGATTCAGATCGCAATGAACTTGGAGACGAAGCTGTCCCATTCATAGCGTTACCAAGTGGTCGGGGGCGAGCGAGAGCAGCGAAACCTAAGATCCCAGCACGAAGAATGACCTCTCCATCTGGCGCAGCAACAGGGAAAACACGCATCCAAGCCCCCTCCAACTGGGAGGAAATCTACAGCATCATCAAAGCCATGCGGCAGCGCAACCCCACCGCTCCGGTCGACACCATGGGATGCGAAGACCTCTACTGGCGGGGTGCACCGCCGCGGGACCAGAGATACCACACCCTCACCGCGCTGATGCTCTCCTCGCAGACAAAAGACACTGTCACCGCGGCGGCGATGCAGCGCCTCCACACCGAACTGGGGGCTCGAGACAACGATGGTGACGGCAAGCTCCAGCTCCCGCAATCCACGTTAACCATCGACAACGTCATCTCCTGCGATGCGACACACCTCGACAGCCTCATTGGCAAGGTCGGCTTCCACAACAACAAGACAAAGTACATCAAGCAGGTGGCCAGGATCTTGAAGGACGAGTACCACTCCGACATACCGGACAGCGTGGAGGGTCTAGTGCGCCTCCCTGGCGTGGGACCCAAGATGGCGTATCTGTGCATGTCGGCCGCGTGGGGGAGGGACGAAGGCATCGGCGTGGACGTCCACGTCCACCGAATCACCAATCTCTGGGGTTGGCACAAGACCAAGACGCCAGAGGAGACGAGGATGTGGCTTGAGGGGTGGTTGCCCCGGGATAAATGGCATGAGATCAACAAGATGCTGGTCGGGCTGGGACAGACGGTCTGTTTGCCGGTCGGACGGAGGTGTGGAGAGTGTGATTTGGCGGGCACGGGCTTGTGCAAGGCCGAGATACGGGGTTGGAAGGCTAGTGAGAGGAGAGTGAAGAAAGAGAAGCTCGAGATATGTGCAGATGCACCTGTTCAGGCTGTGAATCTCGAGGTCCAGGAGCGGAAGATAGTGACGGTCAAGGAGGAGCTTGTGGATCCATGAATGAGAATCCATGAGTTGCTGGTGTCCTGTCCTTCGCTGTGGAATCTGGAGTACCTGGTTCGTGCACTGTGACCAATGTGCTGTCCTTTAACCATGTCCTGTACTGTGTATCATATGCCAATGGTCAAGTCGCATACCGATACGCAGAGTAGCCCCAACCGCCGCGAGCTATCTCGCTGCCATTATCTCGGCAAAGGCCATGAAACGGATAGATTGAGGGTCTTCGAATCGAAATGGACGATGCTCAACGCTCCGCCGATCTTTGACTCTGCTGACTTGTCTCTAGCCTGTCCACAAATGGACGATATGGCGCAGCTATTGTGTGAGGCTGAGGTCGGTCTGAACTGTCGTGGTTCTTGTCGCCAGAGGCCGGATATTGCTGCTGCATCCGGTGAATGCGTTCTAGAGGCTCGCCAATAATGTGATATTTAGCCCATTCCACCGGCGGAGTACGGACGACATTCTGCACTCCTGGGAACTGACCGAACTTGGATGTATTTGCTTCTGTAGTCTCTGCGGAGTCCAGCCTATCGACGTCGATGCCAGCTTGAGGTTGACGATTTAACTTCCCTGCTTGGAGGTCCTTGACGAACTGCTGTGGGTCTTCTAGAGCAGCCTTTTTTATCTTATCCAGTTCCCTCATGTCCTGTAAAGCCTGCTGTCGCTGGATTTGTAGGATCGACAGCGTTGCTCTTAGGGCAATGGCGTCTGGGTTATCGTCCAAGCTTATAGGGAGTGGTTCAGGTGGTTCGTCCATCCATTGCGGAGGTGGTAGGTCTGCACCGTTACCATCTTGAGAAGCTAAACTGGCCTGTGAAAGCGTTGGAGTCACGGGCGAGTAGGATGGACGTTGAGGACTGCCACCAGAATCGTGTACCGTGTCAGCGTTTGGGCGAGTTGTGGTCTCAATAGGGATACCAGCCCGGGCCTCGTCAGGGATCTCCTGTCTGTCGTCGGGCATGATTAACTTGAGCCGTACAACAGTGGGCCGTGCATCCGACGGGTCGCCTGGCATGAAAAACTAAGGTTTTCGTGGGATTTCCGGTCTGATGACTTTAATGGGTTGGGGGAAATAGACAAAGGGTATCGGTTCCGAGGTTAGTCGTAAGATTGTATCTGGGGCTGGATCGTACTTGAGATCATCGAGATCAGGGATTGGCACAGGTGGAGAGGTAGATTAGATCGCCCGTTCGGTGTTTAGTAAGAGGGGAAGGTAGATGGCAAGCGGAGCTTTGAGTTTTCTCGGATGGAGGCAGTACATACACCATGCAAGCTTTACAAGAGGATGAGGTTCAAGATACTGAAAGGGAGATGGTTGTGGCAGGAAATTCACTTGCTCCTCGAACCGCGCCCTGGGTAAGAAAGGCATCGCGTGTCTGCTGTACCAAGTAACTTACGACCTGTGGCAACACACCCGGGCAGGCAGCACAGATGTCTCGAAGGGACGAGGGCTCCGAAGGCTCCGGGGGCTCCGGGGGGTCCACTGGCACGCGGATGCCCATGGTGAGCAAGAAAACAGGGGCGCCGGGAACTTTCGTCGGCGACCTTAAAAAGGTAGAACACTAGAAACACCTTCATCTGTGCCGAGCCCTTCAACTGTCAGTCCTCGCGCAGAACTCTTTTCAGAGCGACAGGGCCCCTGACTTTCTTTGGTGTTTGATCGTTCAGGGCCTATCCACTATTGTCCACTCATGGCTTTCACTCCAACCTTCTGGATAATTCCATCATTATGCTAGTGCAACTCGGACGTCTTCACCACCCTGCTCTCCACGTGTACTTTGGCACTTGTGTACGAATACCCCGGTTCCTTGACCGCAACGTGCTGCATCATGCTTAACCCTTAGCTTCCGGCTGTGTGCTCCGCGCGGTGTTTTTTCCAGATCGCTTCCAGTCGTACAAAGCTGGGCCGTTGCTCTGAGCAACTTGAAGCCCCCGACTGCGCTTCGCACGGAGCGGAGAAGACTTGGCCTAACATGGTGACTTTTGTGCCACAGGACGACGCTAGATTAGCTAGGAGTACTGGGGATAATACACCAAGGCCTGGGCTCAAGCTGCTGTCCATCCACTTCGCCACCAGCACTCGCTTGCGACGCATATCTGGACTACCGGATCAAGCACATGCACGTATCCTTGTAACCCGTACTGTGTACTTTGTGAAGGCGAAGTCGGAGCTCCACTTCGGGTGCTCATGGTAGAGAAATCTCGAGCGACGAGCATGAGGGGTTCAAAAGTTGATCGGACTTTTACGTCGTTCGTAGCCAATCAATCATCTACAGTGCATGCCAGTCAATTGACCCTGGCCTGGTATGTCACCTTTGCGGTCCTCCTCCCCAGGAGCTCTTTTCTTCGTCTGTCGCCGGCTTGCTTTCCCGCCTTATTGGCAATTGGCGCACGTCCCCGTTGCAGGTCAACGTGTAAGGCGCGCCAACCCTGCATGCTGCATTTGCTTTCGCCCTCACTCAGCCTCAAGACTGAACGGTCCCTTGTTTGTTTGGCTCATTTCAGCAGCGCCACCCCTCCGTTCCTTTGGCGGACAGTGTGACAGATTGACAGTTCGCGGATATCCATAACCCACAATTCCCCTGCTTTCAACGTGTCATCGCCGATCTAAGATGAACTTGGAAGTCAACGACGAAGTCCCATGCCTGGCACCTGCATGATCCTTCCGACTTGTATCTCGATCAATTTGTGCTGCTAGTCGTACGAGTACCTTTCTCGAATTTGTCGATCGCTGTTACATGACACTTCTTCACCAAACTGACGCTCATCCACTTGCCACTGCTGCCTCCAACTACCCGTGACGCTCACGGTTGTTCAGCAATCTTGCTATTCCTGGTTTGGTGCTCCCGCGCAGATCCTGGGCGAGGATTGTCAAGTTGCAAGGGACTGTTCGAAATACCACCCCGCTGCTCCTCGTCATCCGGGGCACAACATACAAGATTCCACTACTCCTCACGCTCTGATTGTTGGTGCGATAGTCTTTTCGATTGTCGTCCAGAGTGGCCTACTTCTCTTGTGTCAGGTTATGTCAACGAGCGAGTCTGGCGCGCGACGAGATGACGAGCAACATGTTCAATCTAATGCTTCGACACGCCGAGATCTGTCGCCTTTGCATGCGATGAAGAGTCCGAGCTCCAGGCCTCCCTCCTCGTCCGTCATGGCTGAGAGAGTAGATCTCGTACGAAATGCACACCACGGTGTAGAGCACAGCCAGGAAAGACCGCGGCTTACCATTCGACAGCTTAGGGAAGCTGCTCAGAAGGAGACTCTGGCAAAAGAGTTAGCCAAAGCGAGCCAGAAAGCACCTGGGAGCCAAACAAAAGAAGCTGCTGCTGCTGCGACGGCACCACAGAAGAAGAAGCAGTCGATCTTTGGCGGGCTCTTTCAGGTCCGGGAGCCGACGTCCGTCGCCCTGAACCAAGTCGCCGCTCAGATGATTGCCCAGCATGGGTCAACGAGTGCCACTAAAGTTCCCAATGTCAGACTGGAGAAGATGCCAGACTTTGTGCCAAAGGTCAACTCGAAGTGGGATGGCATACCGGAGAGCGTAAAGCAAAGGGAGAAGAAAGAGAAAGAGAAAGAGAAGCAGAACGCCAAGGCAGAGTCATTCTTCAGCGCAGACTCCAAGGCCGGCGACTCTTCTGAAAGACGACGTGGGAATAGTCGGAACTCCAGCTCGACTACTGGTTCCTCCTTCGGCGGTTTTGCCAACTCCAGTGGCTCGCAAAGCGGATCTTCTCGCACTCGATTCTACGCCCAATCGTTCAATTCGTCTGGCGATCTGGTATCACAACAGAGAACTGACGCCTCAGTCTTTTCCCGTTCCCCTCCATCCCAGCCAGCTGGTGATAGCATTCCTGAAGAGCCTTTCCAGCTGAGGCACCAGCAGAGCTCAGCTGGCATGGGGCACCACCCTGGCCCTCGAAACGATATCGGACTGGATACTCCGAAGCCATTCGCAACGACCCGATCGCGGACTATTCGACCTAGGTCAACGAAATCATGTGCGAGTGACACCAGCGGGCCACCGAGGCCTTCAGCTATGGATAAATCCCTCGAACATCAACGAAACCCTGCGGACGAGGCGCTCGCTTGGGAGTCAATCGACTGGGCACAAGCTGCAAGATCTTATGCTGCCCCTATTGTCCGATCCATTTCGCAGCAGGCAGCTTCGCCGGCAAGTTCTCAGGATCGTTATTTGGCCACCACTTCGCAACAACAGGCACCCGGATTGAAGCCAGGCATCAACGAGCTCAGTCTTCATGCGGTATTATCGGAGGGTCCTGACGAGGCCGGGTTGTCGGTTGTAAGGAAGAAGATTTCGCATACACGAATCACCGACTCCCATGCCTTTTTAGCCGGAGAAGCCCAAGAGCTGGTTTTGGTGGAAGAAAGAAGCGGCTATCACAAGGCTGGTTCATCCCCAGCGGATCGAGCTTCGGCCCCAGCGACGGTGGACGGTGGACGACCTCGAGTACAGCAAGATTTGGAGAAACGGCCCGACAGTTCTCGGGAACGACTCGGTCTGCGAGCAAGCATGCTTTTCGCAGACGAGATTACCCCTTGGGAGAAGGCAGAGCAGGCACAACTACCACCGCCGAGTCCGAAGCCCGAACACCAAGCACCGAACACATCGAAAAGATTTCACAAATCTTTCGGCAAGCTCGGCAAATAGTTTGAGAGCTGAGGAATGGCATCGTGTGGTCTGGGCTGGCAGATCTCATCAATGGATCTGAATAAGCAACACTCCCATGATTCTGTTCCAGTGAATGCTGCGAAGGTTGAACCCAGGGGTGCGCTTTCGGTTTTGGGATGGACATGATTGATGATGCCTTTGACGAATAATGTATGAAATACCCCTTCTAGCAGGTACAGGATATTTCAGTCATCTCGCAGATACCAGTACTATAATATCAGCCCAAAGTCGTATTGTCTTTAAGAAATCGACAGGTTCAGCACTCTTCATCCACCCGGTACTCTTCATGTAGGTAGGATTCGCCATGCGGCCCTGGAGAGCTCGAGTCTTCACTCACGTCACCGACCGCCAATGCGCTAACCATTGGAGTAAATTTCTCCGCACCAGCAGACTTCAGAAAAGTTCAATGCGAGCATGAAGGACCGGCATCCTGATCCACAGTTCTTCTTCGCAGTCATCATTTTCCGGTGAGCTGGACCTTAGCCCCGAATGATGAAGCGCAAAGCACCTCCGAGCGAGCAGCCTCCTGCGAAGAAACGAATCGTCTCCGACAGCCATGGCAACATTCAGTCAGCATTTCGGTCGGACCTTTTCGATGAAGAGACAACAGAAAGCTTCCGCAAGGGATACCAACAAGCTAAACCCTATCCCCACGCTGTGGTACGTTCTCTGATCGAGGACTCCCTTCTGCGATCGGTCCGCCAGGAGATTACCACCCACATCCACTTCACCTTGAAAGAGACCGACATCTACCGCATCCACCAATCCGGCGACCTTGCGAACCTTTCGCACCTCGATGCTGAATCCCTGAAGCACCTCCCGAGCCTAGTCCGTCTTAGAGATGCTCTCTATAGCGCCGAGTTTCGAGAATGGGTGGCGACAGTCACGGGCGCCGGCAAAGTGTCTGGAATGAAGACGGATATGGCTGTAAATGTCTACACTCCAGGCAGCTATCTGTTATGCCACGACGATGTGATTGGTAGTCGAAGAGTCAGCTACATTCTCTACTTGACAGATCCCGAGCATCCGTGGCAGCCTGAATGGGGTGGTGGCCTGCGACTCTATCCGACGGACACCAAGAAGAACAGGCAGGGCGAGGACATCCAAGTGCCACGCGCCGATCACAGTCTGAACATTCCCCCCTCGTTCGGTCAACTGAGCTTCTTTGCTGTTCGACCTGGAGAGAGCTACCATGACGTAGAAGAGGTCTACCACGGTCCAAATCTCGAAGCGGACGGAGGACGAATCCGCATGGCAATCAGTGGCTGGTTTCACATCCCGCAGGAGGGCGAGGACGGATTTGAAGAGGGTATGGAACAAACGCAGGCTCAAAAATCCAGCCTGGCGCAGCTCAAGAGTGCGTCGAGCGAGTTTGATGTACCGCAGCTTGTTTTCCGCCATTTCGACGAGCCGAGAATGGTCATGGACAGTCAGGCAGCCAGGAGAGAAATTGATCCCGGTGACGATCTTGATACGGACGACAACATCCTGACCGAGCAAGACCTGACCTTCCTGTTGCACTACATGACGCCGCATTACTTGACTCCAGACATGATCGAAGAATTCTCATCCTCATTCGCTGATATGTCTGTACTGCAACTCGACCACTTCTTCAATCCGACATTTGCTGCTAATCTCAAGGAATACATCTCCAACATTGAGAATGACGAAGATGATGTACGTGCGCCATCAGCCAGAGCCTACCACCCCTCTACCTGGAAGGTCGCCCGCCCACCTCACAAGCACCGGTATGCGTACCTCCAGACCGATGAAGCCTTGCATCGTGATAAATGTCCGATCTCTCGCATCTTGGCCGATTTGATTCACTCACATGCCTTCAAGAAATGGCTGGCGCTTGTTACGGGTCTGAAGACAAAGAGCCTTATTCGGCAAAGTGCCATAGCTCGACGATTCCGTCGAGGCAAGGACTATGCTCTGGCACATCCGTACCAAGGGGACGCACCGAAATTGGAATTCACGATCTCCCTGACGCCCACTGAAGGATGGGAACGCCAAGGCATTGCCGATGAAGAAGCAGATGCAAGCAAACAGAAGAATGAGAAGAAGGAATTGAACGGAGATTCCGATCATTCGAATGGTCATAACGACAAAACCCAGGTCAAGGCCATGGAAGTGGACAGTCTCCGAGATTCAGACCCAGCAGAAATTGAATTCGGTGGCGAAGAAATCTACATGGTTGGGGATGACGACGAAGATGAGCAGCTGGCTAGTCCCAATTCCAAAGTCTTGCCGAGCGTTGGCAAGAAGCCCTCTCACGATCCGGCCGTCTACAAAGCTGGAGATGACGAAGACGACGGCATCCTCTTTACGAACGCGGCAGGCTGGAACAGGTTTAGCATTGTGCTCAGGGACAAAGGCACGTTGAGATTTGTGAAGTATGTGAGCCAGGCTGCGAAAGGGGATCGATGGGACTTGAAAGGCGAGGTGGAAGTCGACGAAGCCGGTTGGGATGGGGCGGACGATGATGAATGTGAAGGTGAAGAAGGCGGTGAAACTGGTGAAGATGAAGCCGAAGACGAGATAGATGCAAATGATGTGGATGACGATGAAGACGAAGAAGACGAAGAAGACGACACAGCGATGTAAGGTAATGCCACTCTGGATCTAACCCATATAACGGCCGTCACCTATCAGAACGAAAATGCGCTGGCAGAGACACGCGTCGATCTCTACTGTTCACCGAAGGCGATCCGCCACTGGACGAACGTCATGCCATTTCCTCTCTTTCTGGGCGACCCTAGCCTAGCACTGTGCTCGTCACTCTGCCGAGAAGCAGTCGAGATTTGCGCAACGACGCTCCCTGACCACAGAGAACTTGCACCATCAACCATGCGCCCGTTGGTTTGGTCAAGAGAAACAATGCTTGAGTTGGAGCCACGTCGTCGCAGCTGGGGGGCTACTCACTAGGTCTCGATCTTGTGCAGTACTTCGCTGGCCACTAGCCGCAGTCAATCACCGTCGCGCAAATGGCCCGTTAATGGCATTCGAGGGGGAGGAAGAAACCCTTTGGCGACAGGTCTTCTCTAGTGAACTGCGAGACCTCCTCAACGTTTTGGCTCAAAGAGGGTACGCCGAGGGTACGGTGTGAGGCGTCAAGTCATAAAGGTAGCTGCTGATGGAAGGATGAAGCTGATATTGGGTGTCTTATTAGGTTGAAGACGTACCGGGAGAGATTGCCTACTTCGCAGAAACGACGAGCGGCCGCATTTTGTCCAGCTCATCAGAGAATGCAAGTACGGTCGGTGGAAGAGACACGGAGAAGCCGTCCAAGTCACTATGGCACGAAGAACGAACTGGATGGTGAAAGGCCGCCCCTCGTTCGCAAGGTCTTGGTTAAAATCGAATGATTCCGCTTCTGGCATTCAGTTGGGTCAAAAGCATGCCATTTATGGTCCCCAAAGTTGATCCATATGTCTACCTTGGGACTTAACCAGAGCTTGAAATGGACAACGTCTGGGTACCACCAGCAAAGCAGGACATTTGCCCGTACTGTCTTCTCGGTGACAAACTCTACGCCTTCAAGCTTTCTCCCCAATCCTTCAGATTCTCCACCACAGGCACACCCTCTGGTGCCCTGACGATAACCCAAACGACCTCCTCGTCTCCATCATTCACTTCTTGATGTTCCCTATACGCCGGGATCAAAGCCCAATCTCCGGGCTTGAGATCCTGTCTCACATCACCAAATGGGCCGTCTTTGGTCTCGCCAGAGGAGGATACCAGTGAGCCATACCCGCTGACGGCGTAGACAATCGTGTCTTGGGTGCCATGGTGATGGACCGCCGAAGCAGAGTGAGGTTGGGCTCGCATGAGTGTTCCACAGATGGATGGGGAGAGCGCCACGATAGCGGACTGTGAGGAGGGTTAGTGATACTAAGTAACGCCGTCTGGAGGCCGAGCTGATCGGAATCAAGTAAACGTTAGGATGTGAAAAGGCTTTCCATCCCACGCTGCATTCACGCCGTCCTGGCATTTCGCAAGCAAGACTAACCATCGGCGCAGACGGCTGATCTCGCTGTTGCGGGGCACCACCCTTCTATCCCTCACCAGTCATGGTGCCATAATGACACAGGCTGATCCAAAACCATTATTGCGATTATGCAAGTCAAGTCCATGCTAGCTTCTTATTCAATGCCGGCTCCAACCCTCTCGCACACCATGTGGCAAGGGTGTCCTCCTCAGAGCAAGACCGCAAGTCAAGGGTCAGATTAACGAAGTGCGTACCTGCCGAATCATTCCTTCGGTTTGTCCATGAGCCGTCTTGACCTCATCTGCCCTCGTCACACGAACGGAGCGAGGGTTGTGCTTGTCCTTCTCAGCCTGAGAAGTCATCTTGAAACGTGCTTAACTAGAAGGCTCGGGTGGACAATATCGAAGGAGGATTGCTGTCCGTCGATGTATGAGACTTTGAGGCGAAGATCTTTCCGGAAAGCAAGGCCAAAACCTACGTCAACGGGCCGCCGAGGATATTTCTGCGACACCGCGTTCGCAGGAAGGTATCTCTCGCAGTGGGAGAGGGGAGACTGAGATGCGGAGCTGATTGCCATTGTCCGTAGCCAAATCTCCACCACGCCCAGGCACCCCTTCGTGCATCGGGAAAGCAGCTGCCATCTCAGTTACAGATACTCGATACGTGTAAGGTGAACAAACACTTTTGATTTCGCGCATAAGTCTATGTTGCCCCAAGCTAGAACATTGAAGCGAGTCTATCAGAGATCGATATTGAGGAAGTAACATTGCAACCGCCTCGAATATGGGCCCAAGGCCGAGCCTGAAAGACGTCTTTAGAGCCTCGTTGCGCATGTACACCTCTAATGACGACAAGTTTCTGGGCGCATGCAATGCCAACAGCCGCTGAGAGCAAGGGCGACGTCAGAATCCTGGGACTTGACTTGGTCCTCTGTCGTTGGGGCCCTGTCCCTTTTCGAGGTCAACCTGCCCATCCCCGTCTATGTCAAAACGCCGTGATGCCGGGGAATCTCCCTTCCCCTCTGAGGAGGGGGAAAATGCATCAGTCATCAATCTTCATTCAACGGCGTGCCTTAGTCGCTGTATGCCAAAGGGACGGACAGCCATCGCCATGCATATCAAAAGCAGAAACCGTGTCGACAGGCGACACGATCGCTCAGACTTGACCCATGGACACCATCTTCTTCCGCAAGTAGTTCTTGTACTCGCCGATGCTGCCGTCCCATCGTCGAACTGTCTTGTTCTCGCAAACCATGATATCCTTGGCAATCTTGTCGAGCAATCTGGAAAAGTGTTAGGTTGGGCGCTTAAGACTGCAAGGATATCAAGACTTACCTGAAATCGTGGGAAACGACCACAACGCCGCCGGAGAAGGCGTTGATCGCGTCCGCGAGAGAATCAATCGTGGGAATGTCGAGGCCATTGGTAGGTTCGTCCAAGAGCAGCATATTTGGACCTTCAATAGCCAGAAGTGCGAAGACAACGCGGGACCTCTGACCTTCCGACAGGGTGCCCATCAAAGCAGTTTGTGCCTCCCCAGAAAGACCATAACGACCGAGCTGTTGGCGCCAGTATTGGTAGTCTTGTGAGGTTGAGGAGTACTTGTCACGGACGAAGTCCAGCGCAGACTTGGTCAAGTCGAGTTGATCAGCCGAGTGCTGGGAGTAGAGTCCCAGTTTCAGGTGGGTATGTCTGCTCACTGAGCCACTAGTAGGACTGAGTTTGCCGGTCATGATGCGCAACAAAGTCGACTTGCCGACACCGTTAGGTCCGACGAGAGCCATTCTGCTGTCCATGTCCACACCGAGGTCCAGGTTCTCGTATAAATTATCCTCTGATTTGCCGGAATAACTGAAGGTAACATCGTCAAAGGACAGAACCGGAGGGGGTAACTTCTCCACGTCGGCGAATCTGAAGGTGAAGACGCGATCTTGCACCACCGGCTGAATAAAACCATCCGCCTCCATCTTGTCGAGAATCTTCTGTCTAGACTTCGCCTGTCGGACCAAATTGGCGTAGGTACCAGCGGAAGCAATGAACTTTTTGATATGGGCGATCTCTTCCTGTTGCTTGACGTACGCCTTTTGCTGATTTGTTTCTTGCTCCGATCGGGTCTTCATGTAGGAATCGTAATTGCCACCATAGTACATGAGCTGCTTCTGTCTCATATCAATCATGTTTGTGCAAACACCGTTCAAGAAGTCCATTGAGTGCGAAACCAAAATCAGGGTCTTGTCCCATTTCTTCAGGTATTCTTCCAACCACACGCAGGCTTCGAGATCGAGATGGGCAGTCGGATCGTCCAGTAGGAGGAGGGATGGCTTTACGAAGAGTGCTCGACCGAGGGCAACACGCATCCTCCACCCACCGGACATGTCCTTCGTCTTCTTATGGATCGTCTTCTTGTTGAATCCAAGGCCGGTCAAGATGAGCGAGGCTCGGACTTCGAATGTGCTGGGATCCATGGCTTCGGAACGCTGCAATTGTCAACAAATGGGATGGGAGGTGGGCTGAACGGTCTTACCTCGTAAATCTCCATGAGTGCAGGGCTTTCCGGGCCTTCCTTCTCCAGGATCTCTTCGGCCAGATCGTCGAGCCTCTTGACTTCCCTCTCGGCTTCCGTGACGACCCATTCGAGAGCGCCCATATCAGTAGCAGGCGCACCCTCATTCAGCAGGTAGATATCGACGTGTTCAGGAAAAGGGAACTCGCGCTTGTCGATGGCTTTGAGAAGAGTGGATTTGCCACAGCCGTTTTCGCCTAGCAAGCCATATCGTCGGCCAAAGTTGACTTCAATTGTACAATCTTGAATGAGGACTTTGCCGTGGAACACTAGAGACGCGGAGGTGATCTTGACATCGCGACTTGATTCTAGCGAGGCCAGCACACCGGTTGTGACTCGGTCTGACAGACCATGCTTGTCCATTTGCTCAGTCAACTTCTTGACCTTCTCCATCTTATCTGCGTCAGTGGCAGGTGCGTCCTCCTCGTCTTCGTCTAGCATAGGGGGTCCATCGTCACCCGCAACTGAAGAGGCTTTTGAGCCATTTGTGGAGGGGTTCTTCGAGTTGGCTTTGGAGGACAATTTCGATGCGGCGGTCTTCTTTTCGGGCTTTTCGGCCTTTTTCGCCATTCGGGCGGCCTTCGAGGCGGACACAGGCATGTTGACGACTGTAGGAAAATGGAGTTGGAGGCGGTCTGGTGGCGGAGGTGTTGGCGGGGTTGAGAAAGACCCGGATCCACAGATCAAATGAGGCCTGCACTGGTTTGAGAACTGTGCAGCACGGAGGGAAGTGTAGGCTCCCGGAAATTGTCGAGAGGAGGAATTAATGGAAAAGCCCACAGGGAGGAGAAGGAGTAGATGCCTCGACGGAGGGGTTTGTTGGCAAAAGGCTAGCAGCGCATTCTGGAAAATTTGGGCCGTTGAATCGCCCCGCCAATGGAATAACAGCACGAATGGGTCAGACGTCATACGTGCCAAGGCAGAACCGGTGTCTTGACATCTCGCTCCCAAGAGGATCAAAGACAGTTCCCTCCGGAAGAAAACGATGGAAGTGTAGACCAGAGGTAGCCCATGAGGGAGCGAACTCTGCGGAACAAAACGAGGCCAAAACAGTTGTAGATAGGTGATAGGATCTGGTCCGTATCCGTTGTATCAGTGCAGAATGTGCATCGTCAGTGGCAGACCGACTATTGGACTTCACCAGTGGGGATCGGGGCTGCGAATGATCCCTGCGGTCGACTGGCAGCAGGCACAACTACGCTGTTTCTACTGTGTCGGCTGGGTCACAAGAAGTAGATGGATGCCGGATATCAAATGCTTAGGAGGGCCCGAGATGCTAATGTGACCGCTACAACGTACGTGGCATAATGGCGCAGAAGTGTAAAGTACCACATAAATATTTCAGTTCTCAGTTTTGACTTTTCAGTTTGTCTTAGAGACCCCACAATGGTGTAGCAAGTCATCTCGGCTGCCCGAGATGCTGGCATTGCTTGAGAACACGTCGACGACCCCTGATGATAGGATGTCTGCGCGTTTCCTGGCTGGTTCGCTAAGGCCGAAATCTTCTCCAGTGACGCTAGAGATTCTTGTCCTGGAAGTCACACATATCCATTGGTGTTCGTTGGAGGTCTTCGGGGTAAGAAGAAAGGATGTCCGGAGCTGAAGATCAATGGAGGCGTGGGAATGGTCGAATTGCAGCAGGATGCCTAAGACATGTGTCAATGGAAAGCATAACCTGCAGCGTTTCAATCACGGCAGAAGCTGCCAGCCAACCTAACGCCGACCTTGCTTCGTTCATAGGAGCCGAACCTAGATGAAGGAGGCTCGTCACGTCTGAATAACGCGCACTCTCACGTGGCAAGCGAGAACGCCGGACTGCCCCTGCATTTGGCTCATTTGTAGGACGACTCATGACAAGCCTTGCCATATCTCGGTATATACGTGATCATTAGCAGGAGTTGTGGTTTGGTCCTTGGGAATCTCCTCGGACGCAGACCCAACCCTTCCACCCCTCGGACCTCGAAGGTGATAACGAGGGCGAAGAGTGCCGACTGACGAGTTGAATGATTTCGGGCGCCAGGTACTTTGCCGCAAGAGGTAGCAACTGGTGCATAAGATGCATGAACATATTGTTCCGTTGGTCGGCTGTTCAAGCACAAAGCGAGTTACGCTGCTCCGCACCAAGTGTATATCTCTCAAGCGTTTTCGAAAGAAGGCTCGTAGAATGGGTTCAGAGCTATACGGCTCGAAAACCTGAAGTGATAGATTTCCTGGCGATCTGGAAGAAACGTGCGGATAATACCGCAAGGAATCTACCAACACTTACAAGTGGGCTTTT